AACTAGTATCATAAAACTACTGTATTATTGTCCTGTTCTATGTTCTATACCCACCACAGCCCTGTTCATTATAATCCACTGACTATTAGCCAGTGGTGAATGAAGTACTCAATTTTGTTACTTAAGTAAAAATGAAAAACTCTACTTAAGTAAAAGTATTAAAGCACTTGTTTAAAATGTACTAGTAAAAAAGTAAAAGTGCTTTGCAGAGAGTTTTAGAACAATTAAAGGATTAACTGTAGTGATTCTGATAAAGAATTTAGCTGATTTTAAGTGATTCGATTGATTTGTTCATTTTTCTACCTGTTTTCTGTATGTTTTTGTGTATTTGGTTTACTCAAATTTGGGACGTTAACTCAAATGAAATGTGCTACAAATAAGTCTCAACCTTTTCAGCAGGTCTCAAACCATTAAGAGAAATACTTTTTACTTTTCAGTCCAGATCTAAAATGTAGTGGAGTAGAAAGTACAGATACACATTCTCAAATGTACTGAAGTAAAAGTAAAAGTATCCACCGTAAAATGCACTTACAAATACCTGAAAACTGCAGTTATGTTTTGTACGTTTAGTTTTGTACTTCATTACCTTCCACCACTGCTATTAACTGGCATCATTTAAAAGGTGTCATGTCAAGTAAATAATCTACCTGGAGCTTAGGTATAAAATCCGTAGAAACTCACTACTGTTGTATCTGCTACTATGGTTAATCATTATCCAGACTGAAACCAGGTAGTGGAGCTCCAGCAAACAGCTCTGTTCCTATCAGCTCTGACCCTGGACAAAGATAGTCACACTGGGCTCTGTTTGGGTCCTGATAACAGCACTTTGCCATTAAAACTGATATAGATCTATATTTGACTCTCCTTGAAATGCTCAGCTCAAGAAATTTGCGTCAGAAATCATGTGACCGTGTAGAGAAATTTTGAAAGAAAACTGTAAAAAAAAAAAGCGCTGAGTTAATATATTACCTTACATTATTCATACATTTTAGACACACTGACTCCACTACTCCTATATTAGTACCGTATTTCCCGCACTATAGGGCGCTCTGGATTATAAGGCGCACTGTCATTTGAATGGTCTATTTTCAAACTTTTTCATAAATAAACCGCACCGGACATTAAACGAAACACAACAGTTGGATGGGTCAGTGGGACTTTGTTTGGTGCGTTCACGGTGACTCTGGGCTTTGTTCAGTTGTGGCGTGTAGGGAGGGTGCTGTCTGGGACCAACGGATTGTTGGCGTGTTCGCAGTGACTCAGTTGTTCAGTTGTCGCTAGAAGTGGCACATTGCATTCGCTTTTTTGGTTCGTTCCTCTGTTCCGTTCCTTGTCGGCGTGGAGTGATGAGTGTGTCTGTGGGTGTTTTTCGCTGTGCGGTCATTGTCTGCTCCGTGTATGTTTGTGTGCGCTGCGGGTGGTGCAGCTTTGTAGTTTACTGAAGTCGTGCTGGGACACCCGAGTGGATTTGTGTATAGGGTACTCTGGATTGTGGGGCGCAGTCGTTTTTTGATGGGGTTGAAGGCTTATGAAAATACGGTATGTTAGGAATAAGAAATTGATTTACGGACAAAATAAAAAACAACAGGATCATGTAGAGCGGGTTAATACTAAGGATGGGCATTCAATGAAATTTTCTTAATCGATCGTCGGAAGAATTAACAATCGATTATCGATTAATCATTAACGTTTTTATATTAAAATGATCATCATTATTATTACTTTCTGCACTACTAATCTACATAAATAAATTCAACTTTACGACATATAAACCGTAACCACTCTAGAGCCACATCAATCCGTTTGACATTATAATGTGTTTAATTCAGTTTTGTGCAACTCTCACAGAAATGAAACTTAAAACTGCATGGCTCATTTGCATAAACTCAGCAAAGCTAAAACTACAGCTCTTGTGCGCTGATGCGGTCAATTTATGTCGGATTAAAAGACATGACTCAGTGGAATACAGGTTAGTGTGACCATATTTGCGTTTGTCAAAACCAGGACACCGTACGGGGGGAGGGAGGTGGGGACTCGTCATCGACATTGCGCGACTCTCACCTGGCAAAGCTTTTTCCCACTGGACACCGAAGCATATGTTCCTGCTTTGTACACTGTGCACAAGGACTCACACTTGTCCCGAATGCAACAGAAAGCGTGGAATTTCTTGTACAAATCATCGTTAAATACGTATTTGTGCTTCGGTACGTTGCAGACTGACCGAATGTTTGTGTTTGCTCGCTCCTTCTGATGCAGAGAGACACATGTACAGACCCCTGTTTGGTCACGCTACGCACAGCAACCTACATTCAGTTTGTCGATTAAAATTAACGTAATCGATTAAATTCTTAATGATCAATTATTGATTAATCGATTAATCATGCCCATCCCTAGTTAATACAAACATTTTAAGACCAAAATGAGGATACTAGCAGCAGCATTTACAGAGAGAGGGGCAATGTTTTTCCAATATAAAGTAATTTGGAGCCACAGACGATGGAGCCGGAAGCGCTCCCATGCTCACTTCTTATTTGGAACATGGTGTCCAGCAGCTTAGCTATGTCCATTTATATATACAGTCTATGGTTATAACTCTGTTCCCTCATCATTATCATCGTGTTTTGATAACCCTAACCCATGGTGTTTTGTTTTGATTCATGCATGTTTGAGTAATCCTCTATGGTTCTGTATTTGGGGTTTGAATGCTCAATAAAATTTCTGTTTTCCCCTACCCCCTATCTCCACCCACTTGTCTGTGACTACATCTGATAATAGAAGCAGACTGAGGTAGTGCGTTTGAAGTCGCCATAATGTTCGGCTCCAGCCAAATGAAGCCAATCGGGGCCAGCATATTTGGAAATGCAAATGTGTTTCATATCAACCAAAGAACCAATCAGGTGCAAAGCTGTTGAAGGTAACGCCCTTTCCCATCCACATTATTGGCTGGGGAGGGGGATGGGTACTTAGTAATTAACCAAACCTGTGGCAATCTCTGGGAACAAAGTCTGTTATTAATGTTCATATCTTGATTTATCGGCAAAATAGTCAAATAAAAACATCACATTTTCTGAACGCTGAGACCTCAAGGACAGCACAGAAACACAAAATACATTGTAGCTTGATTAAAAGCGAATACCAGCATACAAACACGGCATGGGTCGGTAATTTTTAAAAAGTGTATTCTCGTAAATATTATCACTCAAAACTAGTGTCAAGTGTTTCCTAGAAAAATGAAGCACTCCCTGAAACCTGCTTATCTCAGAGTTTGTGCTGGTTATTTAGTGTGCCTTCCTCCCCTATAATTATTGCGCCACAATCAGCAGCTCTGTGTAGTTCTGTGGTGATAGTAGTGAATCACTCCAGTATTACTAGCTTGCTCCTTTAACGGTACATTATGTAACTTTTCTGGTGGGGGAGTTTGTCGTTCAATAATCATATCACTGTTACACCGTATTCCTATTACCTCTTGTATAAAGCTGAGATTTTATATTTTATCACTTATTTTTTATTTTGACTTGCACATATACATTTATATGATTATGCCTTGGCAAAGGAGAAATTCAATTTGTAAACTGGACAAAAGTTTATTTGGTCATATACGTTTGGCAGCTCATCCAAGCTGATTCTTCAGTTCTGGTCAGACGCTGGTGGACACTTCATTATATCTGTCTTCAGGGAGGGGCTAAATAACTACTCTGAAATTAACACACCTACTTGTTTACAGTTTCTGTTTGTTAGCTAGACCTATTGAACTGCACTGAGTGTGGGGTCTTATTAACAGAATCATTCAGGCCCATAAGACGTGCTTTCACACCTCTGGACCTGATCTGGCTACACCTATTGTGCTCTTGTTTGTTTTGATTTAGGTTTGAGGATGGAGTTGTAAATGGGGAAAGATGGTGTCAGAGACCTCCATTTCTGTTTAAAGAAGGATTCTCTTTCTTAACAAAAATAGTTTCTTTACCTCCTCTCTCAAACCAATTCTTTTGTCTGGCTCAGATCTGTACCTCACTGTCCTCAAAAGCGTGGCTTTTCGGTGGAGATGTACAGCAGACTGAGGTCCACTATTGCTCTCTCGTCTGTGTTGGTACATCCTCTTGTGAAGTGCCTGTTTGTTTCTCCAGTGTAGCGTTCACTTCAGTCTTCACTACACTGAATGGAGTAGACCACATTGCTTTGTTTGTGGCTCAGTGTTTTGTCCTTTGGGTGGACCAGTTTCTGTCTTTAAGTGTTATTATATATTTTTTACTCTTTGTTATTATATTGTGATGAGTGAGCTACTGTGTCCACATAATTTAACCCTTGAGAATCAATAATTTGTCTAAGTCTAAGTCTAAGTTCCACAGTAGACCTGTCTATCTTGCATCTATTCAAAAACTCATTCTAGGTGGCAGACACGTCTTAAAAGGTGCACTATGTACATTTTCTAATGCTTGTCTCCATGGAGATGTTACTGTTTTGATTAAATGTTCCACAATATGGCATTAAATGTATTCATCTGGATGTATCATGTATGGTGACAAGAAAGAGACAAATTTCAAGTCACATCTGTGGAGAGGAGACACCACTCACAATAAGAATGCACTTATTTAGCAATTACAGTAACAATAAGGAAAAAGCCTAAACAGATTTGATTAATGCTATACTGTGTAACATTTCAGGCAAAGTAACAACATCACCATAGAAACAAGTAGCTACCACACCCCACACCAGAAAAATTACAGAGCGCACCTTTAAGTAAACTCAAAATAATGAACCGCAAAGCCATACCAAAATGTTCTGGTAGCACATGCCAAATTTAAATGGACAAAAACAACAGACCACCACAATAGTTGAGCAATCTTTCATCTAATCAAATCAGGGAGGATTAAAACCGACTTTGGGTCTAGACAGTAAGCTGTGTGGGTCATTTTGGGTTCAATTGTCATTTTTTTCCCAGCTAAATCCGATGTAAAACCTGCTGTAGTGAGTAGATAATCTTCCATTCTGTTATTCCTTACCCACTCCTCCACATCTCTGCCTTCTGAAGCCTTCCCTCCGACCAGAGGCTGATCCCAGTAGATATTGGGTTTTCCGTAACGCCAGATCTTCCCTCTGGTTTTCTGAGCGAAGAAAGCGGCGACTCCCAAAGCGATCGCCACCAGGAAGCCGCAAACCATGGCAACTCCCTGACAAAGGAAAAGCACAGGAATCGGAAATGTAATGGAGAAAATGTGTACGTTCAGATCAGTATCTTAATTACGTAAAGCAGCAGTCGGGTATGGAGAGACCAGAGGGTTAAGCCAGGACAGACCAGGATATTAAAGTGTCATTATATAATTTTGACTGTTGACAAAACACTATCTACAAAATGATTATGCAATGATATGAAATTTCCAAGGTATGACCAAATATATATGGGCATGCAGGTATACCATGGAGTTTTTAAAATGTTTACCAAAAATAAGGGACTTCTTAAGTGGAAAAACTGTTAACATCTGATATTGCTTGCCGAGCCAGCCAAAACCGGCCAAAACCTCTTGTAAACAACTGAAATATTTTTTGATCACTATATTTCTGTATTTTATTTTTACTTGCGCATATACATTTATATAGTTTGGCCTTATTTGGCACCAGTTTCTTGCTATTTCTGTACTTATTTAGAATGTATTATACCATCCATATGTTTCTCTTTGTTATTATAATATTCTGGGAGCTACTGTGTCCAAAAAATTTGCCTTAGGGATCAATAAAGTTTGTCTAAGTCTATAGTCTCCCCAATTTCAGATGATGGACATGGTGGATTAACCAGTCAGAGAAACACATGGTCCATTTTTGTAAAAATAAACTACAAAAGAAAAACAAAAATCGAAGCACCAAACTCTTATCTGAGGTAAAAGAAGTTGCAGTATATATTTTGTTCTGAATGTTACGAGACTATTCAAAGAAGAGTATTCTGCAGTTGAGAGACATTAGAACAGGGGTCTCCAGCCTTTTTCCACCAGTAAGCCACTTTCACAAAACAAAACTGAGAGAGAGCTAGGGCTGCTCGATTATGGAAAAAAAACATTATCACGATTATTTTGGTCAATATTGTACGGTGGTGTATTTACGGTGGTGTATTGCTCTCACTCCCCAAAAAAATCACGATTATTCAAACAATTATTTTTAAGTTACATGATGCATTTAGTCAGCATTTTTCTCCCCCCCCCAAAAAAAACAAAACACTTTTTTATTGATAATTTATGCAAAAAACACAAAAAAAAAATTCTACCTGAAAATAAATATAGGCTATAAAATATGAACCGTAGAGCAGTTTTGCAATGTATAAAACATAAATTAATAAAATATACTTAAAAACATAAATGTATCCAAAATAAACTCTATATCCAGCTGTTCTACAATCTCTATATTTAAAAAAATAAAATAAATATACTTATTTATATAAAAAATATCCCTTTCTTAAGCTTTATCCTGTCAATTTGATATGATATATGAGTTTGGAGATCGTTTGACACACAAATTGAAATCGCGATCAAGATTCAGTTAATTGCACAGCCTTAGAGAGAGCTACTACTAATTGTGACTACTACTAGACATTTTGTTTATATAAGAGCCTTAGATGAGGTGAAGATAAACGCTCATTAAAAAAATAAACTGTTAGCCATTAATTAATGCACAAAATTAGACTCAAAATGAGAGATTTACTATTGTAATGAACACACAATTTGTCTCCAGAACAATACATATAATCAGGAATCCCTTGGCGAGCTACTTGAAGGGGTCAGACCATTGTTTACCGCGCTTTACGGTCTGATTCTAAAGCCTGGTCAAGGAAATACATTGTTCCTTGGATATGTTCTATTTGGGGAGTCAGTTATAAGGGCAGAACAAGTGACCTACAAACCCTGTTGATTTCTTTCTATGTATTTGAGCAAAATAGTTTTTTATTTACCCTAGTATTCGTATATAGTATAATTAGCTCTTGAGGTCAAAATGTGTGTCTGCAGTGTTCCGTCTGCATCTAATTATAAAAGTGTTTTATTGTCCGATAATCAGGAAGTGCACAATAGCATGCTAGTTGTTGTTTTAGCTTTACCGTGACTGCAAAACTCAGCTCTAGCCTCTGAAAGCTTTGAAATATCGGTACTGTATTTGCATTATTTACTTAAGGGACAAGATAATGCAAATGCTCATAAAGTCCTCATGTGAATAGTTAGGATGCTCTGAATGCATAAGGTAAGTGAGCAATAACTTTGGACCACTGCACTAGTTCTGTTTTTCACATTTTTGAAACCAGTAAAAATCAGCTACAGCGTTTTAAATTACCTTCAGTTCAGAATGGTATGTGCAAATGAAAACGTCACATTCTTATCTTATCTTATCTTATCTCTTACCTCTTGTGGGTCGACGAAGCAGTAGTGGTAGAGGTACTGGTTGTACATGGGGAAGCCTCCCACCCCGCCCATGTTCGAGTAGCCGCCCTGGTACATGGACTGGCACATCATCAGCATGGGGTTGTACATCATACTGGACGTGCCCTGAGACATCGGGTTCACGCCGACTATGTACACGATACTGATGATGCCCTGCAGGTGAAAGAAAGACACTGTTTAGAAGTGGAAACGAGTAAAAACGTGGGGTAGAAGGGTACAATGTTATGTAATTGACACCTTAAAGGGCCCAGATTTGGATATTCTCTCTATGTTATAATGTTGCTTCCTCATGATGAAGATACCTGAAGTTGTGTTTTTTTTCATTCACACATGTTTAAATACACAAATCCTGCATATTTAGGCTGTGTTCTTCTCTCAAACTGAAAACACTCCTTGTAATGTTGTGTAGTATTACAGAAAGTGCTCCAATGTGTTTTTAAACACCATACACCTTCTCCAAAATCATGTGGATAATTTCAGCTCTGGAATCGCCAATCTCTACTGAACTAAAGAGATGTAAACAGACTAACAATAAAGGGTTACTCAAACATGTGTGAATGAAACAAAACACATCTCCAGGTATGTTTCTGATGTGTTATCAACATTTTGACATGGGTTAAAGCTCACAGGAGTCCATGTTGTGTAATATAGCACCTTTAACATTGGTCATTTATGTCTGCCCAAGAAGTCCTAGAACAGTGACTTCACACTATGTACAACCAATGAAAAGATTTGCGTTTCCGAGTACCACCAGAGCTAAAGCAGGTCTATAACAGGACCATGCCAGGTCTAATCTATGGCTAAACCAAGTCTAAAAGCGGACTACATTTCCCACTGTAGTTCTCAACAAGAAATTATCCAATTATCTCATTATCTTATTCTTAATTGGCCAAATAAACAAACCGAAGAGCTGTCCAAGTACCACCTGAAGGAGCTTGAGTACTGCCAGAGGTACATCAGAGGTACATGCACCACGGTTTGAGAAACAGTGCCCGAAAAGCCTTTATAATACTTGACAAAGACGTACAGCCTGGAATCATGTCTCCACTATTACCAATCTCCAATATTGACACACAGACTAATCAATAAAAAGTCAAAAGAAACATGGCGGTTTATGAGTAAAACCAACCCACTGCTGATTTTAAAGGACTGGATTAGAGCATAAAAGAGTCAAGCAGTTTTAATTAGAGGTCAATATTTGTACTTTTTAGCATATTGGCCTTGAATCTCCGAGTTAAGTTGAAGTTGTTTTTGATGAGGAAAGAAGCCTATAGATTGTAGATTCTATATTCTAAATTTTTATTTGTACTTGTACACTAGACCAGTCAATATAGACCACAATGCACTGTGAGAGTTGGAAAACAACAGCGGACAAAAACAGGTGTTTAACTGGACACAGCAGCACCGTTTTATCACACTATTGATCCCTGCTTATTACTCTTACATAAATCATTGTTGTGTAAAGTTACTAGAGTTAGCCTTGAGCTGTTAAAAGATCAATAATTTCCACATCTCAGTTAAACATCAAATAATCCAGCCTGTGGCGTGAGATCCAGTTTGACAAAAACTTGGATGATTATTATTGGTCTATAAATACTTGTATTGTCAGTATGGAGGTCAATATTTAGATGCCACTATTTCATTATTTAATGTTTTGCCTGTTTTTATATTGTGTTGATTTTAATGTGAAGCACTTTGCTCACCTTGAGTGTTGTAAAGGGCTCTACAAATTAAGTTTTATTGTTTGATTGAATATTTGACAGAGACAGGTGTTTAACGGGACACGGCAGCAGCATTTTATCACACTATTGATCCCTTCTGATGCACTCTTAAATAAACTGTTGATGTGTAAAGTTACTAGAGTTAGCAGATGGTGAGCCTTGAGCTGTTCAAGCTGTCAAGATCAATTTCCACATCTCAGATAAAAAACAAATAATCCAGCCTGTGTGCGTCAGATTCAGGATGACAGAAACTTGTGTGGTTATTATTAGTCCATAAATGTGTCAGTCTGATTGATTTGATCACTAGTTATGACGGAAATCAAGTTTTATCAGAGTTTATCCTTCAGACTTTGTTCAGCCAGACGCCACGTCATGTGACCTGGGCATCCATGTCGTTTTGTGAATGAACGCACTATATATATTCTGATAAACAGTAGGGATGTAACAATAACCAAAATATCTTAATATCATATCGTCATAGGTCTTACAATAATATCATGCACCATCACAATGTATTGAATTACAAGTCTCTTTGCTTAAATTAAGAGTTATGGTGCAGCAATAACTAAAAAACAGAGGGAACTACATAGACCATGATCCTTTGCTCCATTTCAGTGCAGACTACATGATGAAATAACAGCTCTAAGCACTTTAAAATCTCAGTTCTTTGGATTCGGTCTGGTCAAGGAATTTTAAGAAGAAAAAGCAGTGTATTCACAGTTTCAAAATAACACAGAGGATGGATATTCGGACACAGCCATTATTTGTTACCCCCGACTGGTCGCCATAGTAACACAAAACAGGAAGTGAAAGAGAAGTCACATGTCTTACCTGCAGTATGGCCATGATGATGCTGGTTATGAGCACGGCCAGGAAGTACTTCCGACTGCGCACAGTGGGGGACTTGGAGAAGCTCGTGATGAAAAACGCCAGAGATATAATGAAGTTAATCGCCGCCATAGCGATCATTGCCGTTTTGGCCGAGTATGGAGAAATGTAGGACCCGTAGTAACTCCCATAGTTACCGCCGTAGCTGCCGTACCCCGAACCGTACCCCGAACCGTAACTGCCGCCAGGGTACCCGCTTCCGTAGCCCATTCCTGACCCGTAGTACCCCATCCCGCCGTATCCGTACTGCATATCCCACATCAGGGTAGAAGCGACGCAAGCGAATATGGCCACGCACAGGACGATGACGGTGGCCATCATGGCTTTGATAATTCCAGGGGGTGAGAGCCATTTGTAAAAGTGCTGGGGTTTGTCTTCGATGTAGTAGGAGCCAGGGGGAGGCGGGTAGGGGTTGTATTCGCTCTGGGGGTCCTGGAAGCTGCCCGGGGGTCCATATCCATTGTTGGAGGGTGGGGTGTACACCGGGGGGCTGTCGTAGTGCTGCTTGTCAAACATGGTGAAGCTGGAAAGACAAAAAAAATAATAAAGCACATTGTTAAAGAGACAAGTTATTATGTTTTTCTAATTATGACTTGGTTTGGTGGGGTCGTATTTGAAGTTAATATTTATCATAGTTTTATATCAGTTAAAGGTGCACGGTGTAACTTTTTAATTGGGGGTCCGTCACCTCTTGTTTCTATGAATATGTCATTGCTCTGCCTGGAATGTTCCACAGTATGACATTAAACAGCTCTACTTTACATTTATTCACTTACAGGTGGTTTTATAACTCAAAAATACCTAGAAAAAGAGGCATTCTGACTGTGAACGGGGTCACAGATCTGACCCGTAACTTGGAGAAAAGGTTTAATGTTTGATGGAGCCTCCACCAGTTACGCAATGCACCTTTAAGTCAGTTTATGGGGAAAAAATCTGACTAAAAGTAGAAAAGTACATATAAGTAGCTGAAACAGCATACCTCTACCTATGTTATCAACACTGAAACTTCTATCAAAAACCAAAATAAAGCCCAGTCCCATCAAAACCATTCAAGACACTTCTCCTGTTTAAACCTTTATTTAACAAAATAAAAGTGTTGTAATTTATTTTCATTAGCCTAATCCTAACTATTGTGCAATTTAGACACATTTGACCCTTGTTAACATTAAGGTTGCTAGGTAATGGTTACAAAATTACCTCTATGTCTGCTGCTCGTGTCCAACCAACCAGAAATTAAAATTGTAATCTTCACCAAAATATAAAAATAGAAAAAACTACTCAAAATGTTTAGTCAAATAAGAAACGTAGTCTAAAGCAGTCTGAGTGGAGTTGCAGAAGTTGTCTGCTCCTTGTCCAGCCTTGATATGACTAATGTGCAGATATGGAGAGGGTGTGAGCAGGTTAGTAATATATTCAGTAAATGTTTGACCACTTCAGATCGAGTGTCATTAAGGGTAACGGTTTTGCACTGACCTGATTTTTCCAGGTATTTGTTGCTACACAGTAAACAGTCATCATGTATCGGAAGTAAGACTGTATCAAGAAGTGGACTATGGGTGCACTCACACTAGGACTTTAGAACTGTGCCATGCTCAAGCACACATCCGAACTGGGGACGTCATCACACGGCGCTGTTTGTTACCATGTGCTGACGCTTTTAGCTGAGAAAATATCAATATTCAATAGTCATATAACTAGAGCAGCCACTTTTGTGCAATGCCAGACCTTCAACAAAGACATGTAGAGATCATTTTAGATCTTTTCTCATGGACATATGATCATCTAAATATGAGTCTTGAGACAATTAAAACAATATGAAGAGATTTTCATTTTGTGAATGTGTCCCACCCCCTCCTGTGGTGACCTTAGATTTGAGGCACAGAGATGTCGGCACCAGGAGGAGGAGGAGAGAGGGAGAAACAATGCGTCCATTTTATCCTCTTCCACCCCCACAGCGCAGACACACGCTTTGAACAGCTACATCCTGGTACTTTACATTGTTTCCAACTGTTTGTGAGTAAGTTTTAAGTTTTCAAGGACAATTCTGCAAAAACAAGCATCATATTCGGGGAATTGAGTTCAACAACAAGAAATAGTAACAAATTAGAGCTTTTTTTTTTTTTTCCTCTACATTCTTACTTTGATATGGACTGTAGGCTGTAGGGTGCAAGGCGAACATGCTGCATAGAGCCAGCACCTAAAGTACAAGGCCTCGTTTAAAGACACAATAAATGACACTTTTAACACAAACAATGGTTCTGACTGGGCTCATTCAGGTCACTATTCGGTGAAACCTGGGCAACAGTTCTGTGAAAGGAAACTGCTGATTTATTTATTATTTCATGCAACTGAAGAGAGTTGACTTAAGATTAATCATACAATATAATTTTGGTTTCTTAACTGCTTTGACATTTTTATTATAACAGGTCATTCAAGATAGATTAATAATAATAATAATAATAAAGGGCAAGTTCAGTTAAGTACAAAGCAAATATGTAAAGGACTTTATTTTCAAGTAAAACTCAACTTAAAAATAAAAACGATTATAATAGCTGATTATGAATTGAATTTTTTAACTAATTTAAGTAATTTTCTCTAAGATGGACTTAAATAAAAAAAAAAAAAAATGTATTAAAAGTCCTGCTCGGGGTCAAATATGGAACCTAAACCTTTGCTTTGAGTGTTACCTCATCACTCCTGGTTCAGAAACACTGGAAACACACACACTTTACAATAATCACAGGACAATAAAAGGACAATCTGTTTCTGGTGATTTCGTTCTTTTCTGACAGATAACGAGTCCAGCAAACCTCCTCCAGGGACAATAAAGCACCACAGCCTGAACCTCAGCATTGTGAAATACTTTGACAGCAATGCACTTCATATCACAGCCGTTTCTTTGCTCACGCAGGCTGGTATTACCACACAGAACTGGTGCTGCGAACGAGCAAGAAACAGATCTCGCACAGACTGCAAACTATTAAAGCTGCACTGAGTACATTTTCAAGTGAGAGGCCCATCACCTTTAAGACATTATTGCTGTATTATACTTTTTTTAGTAGATTCTGCAGTATTGCGAGGTAGGTAGGTAGGGTAGCATATACACCCTGCAGTGTAAAACAACCATTAACAAAATATATGCCTCTGCAGATTACAGCTCCTGGTTGGACTCTACTGTACGTCTTCACAGTTGCACTGTCTTTTGGTGGACTTTTTCCCTGATGTTAAATTATATTTGCCCATATATCATAATATCAATAGGGCGTTGCAAAAATATTGAAATATCAATATATTGTATCATTTAATGTGATGATACAGTATTGATATCATGGGCTGCTGTACCGATATATATCACTAAGAAGGTTTTTTAATATATTTTACAAAATTATTTGTTACAGCACTACAGTTTTGTTGTTTGTTTAGTGGAAGGAAACTCGTTTATGTGACTCATTTGACATTTTCACTGTTTTGAGGATTAAAATGTTTATGTTTCATATGAACTTTGCACAAAAAGTGGTTTAACAAAGACTTTTAGTGTCACAGCCATGATTTTGCCTTTCTTTTTATTGGACCGAATTGAATCGATTTGAAATATATCGTATTGACTGTATATTGTATATCAATTGTATATTGTATATATTTATTGAAAGTGCACTGTATCAAGAAATGTATTGTATCGTGACCTATGTATTGAGATATGTATCATATCGTATGTATCGGCAAATTCTTAATGCTCCTCAACCCTAAGTAGCAACATTTGCATTCCATGACAAGACCCACAAGATGAAGTAAAACTGTACTTTAAGTTTACAAATGAACCTATTCCAGATATCACAGATACCGATACTGAAATATTAGGTATCTGTTCCATAATATTTGTTAAACTGATATCCTGGTGGGGCCTTTACTAGGATGTAATAACTATTTATAAGTTGATTTTGGCCTCATGTTTGAACTGTCATCCATACAAAGCTGTTCAGTAATTATGTTTGTGAAGGACAAATAAAAGTTACACAAATGGATCTTGTGTAATGAGTTAACTGCATTTTAAAGAAATACACTACTGGTCAAAAGTTTTACAACACCACACTTTTTCCAGTTTTTTACTGTTTACTGTTGACCAAAACATAGTCTAAACTTTTGATTCATGAAAGTGTCCACCTTTGGCAGATATAACAGCTGAACTCGGGGCTCGTTCTTTCTACAACAGAAATCAAATATTGTTCAGAGAGTTCTTCTCATGTCTGTTGCAGAAGTTTCCATAAATGTGTGACACTTGTAGGTTGCTTCACTCTTCTGTCCAGTTCATCCCAAACCAGCTCCATGGGGTTTAAGTCTGGACACTGCGCTGCTGGACACTCCATGTTTTCAAGTTCACCATCTTGTTCTTTTTTCCTGAGGTAGTTTTGGCTGAGCTTGGACTTGTGTTTTGTATCTTTTATCTTTTCTTTTCATCTCTGTCTGTTCAGTACTTCTCTTTGTACCATTTCAAGCTCTTCATTGGATTTGGATGATTTGAATTGTAATAAATAACTGGAAAAATGAAAGTGTTCTAAAACTTTTGACTGGTAGTGTATCAGTTATCATCAGAAAGTCAAAGTATCGATATCGGTATCAGAGCTGAAAAAGCTGGATCAGTGTAATATCCCAGTACTTTATGCTTACAGTCCTGTATTATGTAACAGAAGCCCCACACAGCTCCAGCGGCGGACATGTTGGCGGGACGATGGCGACACGGTCCATTGAGGCTGGAGCATCTGAGGGGGGGAGTCTCTGTAAAAGTGCCCCAGATCAGAGCCATAACTCTGGGCTCTTTGTGCTGCGTGTCAGCCTCTGTGGAGCAGGTCTCCAGCTCAGACACAAACTATTGTAGCTCTGCCAGGACGAGCCATCTTTCACAGAGCTCTTTCTCTCCATCTCTCTTCTCCCCCCCTCTCTCACTGTCTCTACCTCTCCCAACTGCTCCTTCCTTTTTCTCTTCCCTAATCCCTACCTCTCTTCCTTCTTCCACTACATTCCTTTCTACCTCTACAAATCTTTTCTCCTCTACCTGTATCGGTCTCGCCCTCTCTTTCTTCCTCACTCACATGTTCCTCTTTCTCTCCTTCTCTAACTACTCTTTTCTCTTTCTTTCTTTCTTTCTTTCTGTCCTTCTTCCTCACTCCTTCTCTATACCAGCGCCGCACTCTCAGTTCCTCACTCCACCATCTCTCTCTACCTCTCCCTCTCCCTCCATCCTCAAACTTTCTCTTCTCTCTAGCTCCTCTCCCTCTCTCCTTTCCTCACTCTCTCTTTTCCCCCTATCTTTCTCTCCTCCTTTACCTCCCTCCTTTCCTCTCTGTCTAACCCTATCTATCCAACTCCCTTTCTCTCTACCCCTCTTCTCTCTCCCTCTTCCCCCTTTCTCTCCCTCTCATCCTTTATTCTCTCTCCCTCTCCCCTCTCTTCCTCTTCTCTTTCTCTCCCCCTCTACCTCCCTCCTTTCCTCTCTGTCTCACCCTATCTATCCATCTCCCTTTCTTT